TAAACACCATGATGATTGTTGTACGAATAATCGTATTAAAGTATTATGTATGTGGTTAAAAAATAATTGTATATTGTAAATTTATTTTATTTTTTTTTTCAAAACATGTTTATAGTAAAAATTATCAGCTGTACAGTTTATTTCAATAAATATATTATTCTGTATTATTTGTGTATAGTTATTGTATAGTGTACGTTTTTACTAGCGGTTAAAATATAAAATAATGACGTTTAACCTCTAAATTGTTAGAGAAGTAAAAACACACTCCCCCATCCGACATAAACGATCTTGTATAAAAGATCGAATTAAATAGAGGACATTATTTCACAGTATTTATGATTATAATGATAGAATGTATTCTCCTTGTTATAAGCGCTTAGTGTGATTTTTTCATGGCGTAAATTAAATTTCAATGAATATCATTGTTTTTAGTCGTCTACTGCGTGTGTACATTATAATCCATATAATGTTATACATATTGATAACATTGAGTACACNTCCATATAATGTTGTACATACTGATAACATTGAGTACACAATCACATGAAATAATTATTTTAATAAAAAATTAAAATTTAGTGACATACGTAAGAGTAAAAATCTTCACCGAAAACGTAAAAAAGTAAGTATTACAACATACTTTTTCAACATCGAAAATACTCAGTTTTTTCAACACGGAGAAAAAATTATAATTTAAAGGAACAATTGAGTAACTATAGATTCAATGTATTTTATACTTATTAACTTTTATTTTTATTCGTAGGTAGAATAATATTATACAACTGTTGATCGTCTCAGAGCATACCTTGACAGTATTATAACATACTATAAATTTAATCATAAATATTAAGTATAATAGTATATAATTTTTTTTTAGTAATAATAAACCTAATTTATTATGATAAATAATGTTATTGATTTTTTTAGAATCTATTATTCCGTGAAGATAATTAATTTTCAAATACACATAAAGGAAGAGGTCGCATTGCAAAATGGAAACGCTATGAAAATATTTTATTATAAGTTTAATATTAGTGAATAAGTTAATTAGATTGAAAATTATGATATTAAGATTCATATTATCCATTAAATACGTTTTATTAATTTTCATTTTCATACAAATCATATATTTTTT